CTACTTGGGAGGCGGAGGCAAGAGACTCGCTTGAGTCTAGGAGTTGGAGGTTGCTGTGAGCTGTGATGCCATAGCACTCTACCCAGGGAGATAGCTTGAGGCTCTGTCTCAAAAAAAAAGGATCACCCTCTATCATGGAGGCCTATCCAGAGGGTCCTGGGGAACCTAGGGTGGGGAGCTTGCCTAGGACCCTAGGCCAATGTGGGGACAGCCCTCCACCTTCTCACATTCACCTTTCTTGTGACTTGCCTGTGGAGGATGGCTCTGCATAGCAGACTTCCCTTCTGCTCTCCAGTAGTTCACAGTGGTATCAGAGGTTTACTTTATACTGATGAGGGCTGGTGGCTGACTGGGGCACATGAGGGGCACACATGCAGGTCTGAAAGGGAAAGAGAGCATGAGGGTGGGCCTAGGGCACTTTTCTGCAAGCATCCTCCTCCCTGATAGATAGGACCCATTGGAATCACCTGTCCTGCCCACTGCTCAGCGATGACTCCTCCCCTGGGAATAGTTGAGTGCGCTGAATGAAGAACCCACAGTATTGACTCCATTCAGCTGCTTCCTCCTTGGCTGTGCTCACCTATGACTGTGACTGGCTGCTTCTGGTTTCATCTCAGCTACTTGGCTTGCTATCAACTTGCTTTCTGTTACCTGCATCCGTCATGGGGAGGTGGTGCGAGGCACAGGAAGCTTCAGAATCTCCAGAGCAATATAAAATGAAATCAGGGTTAGCAGCCTCCTCTCAGCTTCTTCATTCACCTTCCTGGAAAGTCACCTTTCCTGTCAGTTCTGGCTTCTTAGCTGCCTGCACATTTTTCTCCATGTAGCCTATTTGAGATCCCATTTCTCTTGCTCTTTTTGCAGTTGTTGCTGTGAAATAGGCATGTTCCTCACCACGGCAACATTTTCCGGAGGTGTTTGGGGAAAGGTTTGCTTCAAAGCCTTAATACATCTTTAGTCCCAAAATGACATTTTCACATACTTGATACCAGACCAGATATTTTTCATGTCCTTTGAACAGATTTTCTGACAAAAGCAACACTAAATTTTGTGTCTCTAATGGTAAAATGTGATTATCTTCTGTAGAATGGAGTTTTTCTCATAAAAATGATCTAAATGGCTTGTAGTATTTTAAATTGTTCTCTTAGCACCATTCTTCAGGCTTGCCATGAATAACCAGAATTTTGTGGGCCAGCTGGGAATGTAATGATTTTAAATGCAGGCACTTTGAATGCATTTTCTTATACAATGTCACCGTACACAGTTAATATTGGAATGTTTCCTATTGATGGGGCAGAATGCATTTTCTATACAATGTCACCTTATAAACTAAGAACAGCTCATGTTTATGAGATGGGATGTCTTTTACATTTTTTATTTTTAATGCTTTTAACTTTTTCTCTGATAGGATTTCTCAGATTTATATCTGCTTATGTATACCAACATTGGAATTTCTTATGATTTTAAAATTTGGAGAACTGATTTTGGTTCAGGCAGGGGTAGGGGTGGAGTTGAGTAAAGTGTATTTAATCAAGTTTAAGACTTTTCTGCTCCTATGGCTTTATAAAGTGCCTTGGAATAAGAGCAGCGGCTGCCATTGTTATGTTGGTGATGTTTTGTTACATGCGTATGACCTTTGAGCTTGTCTTCTTTCCTAGATATGAAAAGTTACAGAAGACATGCTCCATAGCTCTAGTTGGCAAATATACCAAGCTCCTGGACTGCTATGCTTCCGTGTTCAAAGCCCTGGAGCATTCAGCCTTGGCCATCAACCATAAGTTGAATCTGATGGTGAGTCCTGGTGTAGTTTCCTGATTGTTTTAGTCTTTGACTCCAATGTCTCGTGTTTTAGAGATGCAGATTATGTGAACATTTCTTGTACAGTTCTGGAAGTTGGAAGTCCAAGATCATGGTGCCAACATGGCTGGGTTTAGGTGAGGGCCCACTTCTCCTACTCCTCCTAAGATCACCCCCTAGGATCTATGACTTACCAGAATGATTCACAGGACTCAGCAGATAGTCTTACTCAATGGCTAAGATAAAAGCCAAAGAATACAAAGCAAAATCAGTGAAGGGAAAAGTTGCATAGGGAGAAATCTAGGGGAAACCAGGTGCAAGCTTCTAAGAGTCCTCATCCAGTGGAGTCTCATAAATTGAGCTTAAGCCTCCAGTGATTTGTGATAATATATATAAAGTGCCATTTATCAGTTCATTAGAGACTCAGTGCCCAGGGCTTTTATTGAGGGCTGGTCACATAGGCACCCTCTGTCTATCATGTACCAATATTCAAGACTCCCAGAAGGAAAGCAAGTTATCTGCATAGATTATGTTATTTGTACAAACATTTTAGGCACAGTGAGCCACTCTTACTGGTTTCTTGGAATGGTGGGAACCCTCTCAAAATCTGAGTTTCCAGATGCCAATCTAGGACCAGTCTTTTTTTTTTTT